CCTAAAAGGCATTTTGGATCGGGCTTCCCCCAACACCGAGCGGCATCTATCAGATGCGGCACTCGGACCTCAACAGCGCTTGATATTGGCAGCATGCTGGTTCCTTCCCAGTAGGCCCCAGGGGATTCTGGTACATGCCTTGGTCAATTCTGGGGCCACTACGAACTTTACGGATGCTGCGTTTGTGGCCAAATGGGCTGTTCCCCAATGCCTGGTGGATTATTGATAGCCGATTGTTCCTGTCTGAGCCCACCATGCAACTGTGGGTATGGCCCTCAGCTTCATGAGGAGGCCATTCAGTTTTACATAACCTTCGACCTGCATTTCCCCATGGGCTTGGGCTTGGTGTAGTTCCGGACGCATGACCCACCAATTTCTTGGTCCCAGAACTTGGTCACCTTCCAAAATTTACAGTGTATGGACCACAACCACCAAGTCTATGCCAGCCAGGTGATGATTCCCCCAGGGGTTTCCCTGCCCTCCAAACTGGCAAGGGCAATTCAGCGAGATTGAGGTGGTTCAATTGCCCCCGCACCGGCCATACAACTGCCCCATAGCCTTAGTCCCTGACATGCCTCTCCCAGTGGGATGTTTGTATTCCATGTTTGACCCCAAGTTGGCCATGTTACAGGACTTTCTGGACAAAAATCTATCTTGATGCTTTATCCAGCCCTCGTCTTTGCCAATGTCCGTGCTGGTGCTCTTTATAAAAAAGAAGTCCAGTTAATTAAGGCTCTGTTGTGACTATCAAAAATTAAATGCCATTATGGTACATAATCGATACCCACTGCCCCTCATCCCCGGACTTCTGGAATGGCTCCGGGAGGCCAAAATCTTCACGAAACTGGACTTAAGAGGAGCCTACAACCTAGTTAAGATCTGGCCCAGTGATGAATGGAAGGCAGTGTTTGGCACCCGGTATAGCCACTTTGAGTATACAGTGATGCCGTTTGGGCTGACCAATGCCCCTGCAGTCTTCCAACACTTCATGAATGACATATTCCAGGACCTGTTAGATCAGTTTGTCATGATCTATTTGGATGACATTCGGATCTACTCCCCTTCGCAGGAGAGGCGTCACCAGCATCTCCGTCAGGTCCTGCAGCAACTCCGAGATCATTATTTGTATGCCAAACTGAAGAAATGCCATTGATTTCTTAGGTTATCGCATTTCTCCTGAGGGCATAGCCATGGAGCCAAGCAAGGTCGAGTCCCTGCATAATTGGCAACCCCCACGTTATGTTAAGGCTCCTTCAGAAAAAGACCCTGTTTCACTGGAGCACCCTGGAGCAGTGGCATAGCATGGGTTGTCAGCACCCGGGGCAAGGCAAGTAATTTGCGCCCCCCCCTCCACAGTGGGCGGCGACCCGGCGGCTCGGCTCGGATTCGCACAGGCAGGGGCAGAGAGCTGCGAGTGCGAGCGCGCCCCCCCAGATGTTGCACCCGGTGCGGCCGGCACCCCCTGCACCCCCCATGCTACGCCTCTGCCCTGGAGCAACAAGCTTGCCAGGCTTTGAAGCAAGCCTTTATGAAGGAACCTATCCTGAAGCACTCTGACCTACAATGGCCATTTGTCATGGAAGTGGATATGTCCAACATTGCCTTTGGAGCTGTGTTACTCCAGGCACACACGCCCGGCGGTGCCCTTTTCCCTTGTGCATACTATTAGCAGAAACTTAATCTGGCCAAGTGCAACTACACCATCTGGGAGCTACTGGCCATTAAGATAGCATTTGGGGCCTGGAGACATCATTTGGAAGGGGCTCAGCATCAAGTTGAAGTCTGGACAGACCATAAGAATCTGGAAAATTTGCAGACTGCCCAGAAATTGAACAGACAGATTCGGTTGTCTCTCTTGTTTGTGAGGTTCAATTTCCACATTACATACATACCAAATGGTCACAACCAAAGAGTGGATGCTCTTTCAAGGAAACCAGAATACTCCTGTATGGACGACAAGCTTCTGCCCAGGACAATTCTCCTCTTAGAGTCTTTCTCTGTAGTTTGGGAGCCAATAGATTTATGGGATCAGATTCGGGAGGCACAACAACACGATGTGTGGGTGCATCAATGAAGGGAGGAGTTGGGGCCAGACTCTCCATGGACCATCACAGATGGATTCCTGAAATATTGTGATCGGTTCTATGTTCTGGGAAGGCCGCTCAGAGGGCTCATTCTCAATCAATGTCATGATAATCCTGTGGTGGGACATTTTGGACTTTTCAAGGTGCTGAACCTAGTCTCCTGTACATGCTGGTGGCCCTGAGTATGACACGACGTCCAGGTCTACATCACGTCTTGTGTATGGTATAGGCAGGCCAATAGGGGCCCCCACCGGGTCTACCTCAGCCCTTGCCGATGCCCAAGAGATACTGTGGGCAGTGTCCATGGACTTCTTGACAGACTTGCCCCCGTGTTCTGGCTTTATGATGGTGTTTTTGGTGGTGGACATGCTGACCAAGATGGCACATTTCATTCCTTGCTGTGGCTTGCCGTCAGCCCGCACCACCACTCGCATGTTCATCCAGCATGTTTTCCGGTTGCATGGCCTCCCTGATAGGGTCGTTTTGGATAGAGGGGCTCAATTTATGGCCCATTTCTGGAAAGGGTTGATGAAGGCCCTAGACGTACAAATCTGCCTGTCATCGGTGCATCATCTGCAAACGGATGGTAGGATCAAGAAAGTAATTGGAATCCTAGGACAATATTTGCACTGTTTCGTGAATCAGTAAAAGGACAATTGAGCAGACTATCTTGCAGTAGCCGAGTTTGCTTTTAACAATTCACAGCACGTGTATGACACTGTTCCTGGTATCATCCCTGGCTTTTCCCCCTCTCGCAGCTTGATGTGCCAATTCCCACAGCTAACAAATATCTGACCAAGTTACAGGCTATCCATCAATTGGTACGGCAGCAATTAGATAAGGCCAAGGCAGATTACAAGAAAGTCACCGATCAGTCATGGTGAGATACGCCTGTGTTAGCTGTAGGAGATTGGGTATGGCTTTCAACCAGGCACCTTCTGTCAGACCGGCCTGCCAAGAAACTGGACCATCAGTACATAGGCCCTTTCCCTATTGAAGCCATCATTAATCTGGTTGCTTATCGGTTAACATTGCCACGTTCATTACGGGTACATCTGGTCTTTCACCAGTCCCTCTGCTCCCAGAAAAACCAGTGTGTCTGCTCCACCAATCAGAACATCCCCCACCAGAACAACGGGATGGAGACAATGCTCCCAAGTATGAGGTCACCAGTATTCGAGACTCCCGTTGGTTGAAAGGCCGATTCCAGTATTTGATTGAGTGGAAGGGCTATTGACCGGAGGAGTTCTCCTGGGAGGCTTCGACCACCGTGCATGCTCCTGCTTTGGTGATGGTGTTCCACAAACAATTCCCTTCATGACCACATCTGACCTGTCAGACCTGGAGGAAGGGTCCTGTGGTGAGGGATAGTGTTGAGAATCCTTGCTTGCCAGCAGAATCTGGCAGCCGAGTCAGATGAATCGGATGAGGGAGAAGGGTTACCTGGGGTCACATCGGAGTCCATGGAAGGCTCTGAGGAGCTTGAAGACTCAGAGCTAGATGTGACACCGGGCCCATCTACTCACACTCAGGCAGAAAGACAGCTGAGTTGAAGGCCTGAACTGGGCAAAGACGAGCAGCTGGGGCCTGTTCCAGATGCGTGGATGTGCAGAGAGGAAACGCATGCAGGACAGCAGAGGGCGATGGGGCGGCTCTCCAGGAAAAGTAAAAGACTCTAAGGAGCCTGAGAATTCTTGGATATTTAACCAGGTTTGTCAGCTTTCTGTGTGTTTGAGTGACTTAAACCTGGAGCACTCAAGCTGAGAACTCAGAGACTGAATCTTGTTCATTTCAACAGGACTGGCTAAAGGACTGGTTGGAGTTTTGTTCCATAAAAGCTGTGTAAAAATAAAAGGGGTTTATCTTACCAAGTCCTGCCTTATTCAATGCAAAGTGGTTTTTCCTCGCGGATAAGTGGTTGAGCAGTATTCGCCCCTTTGGCCTTCCAGATTGTCTACCATGTCCCATTGAAAGCTGAGCAGAATGGTGCTTCATCCTTTGCAAGAAACTTGAAACTGTGTAGGGATGTGTCTTATTCCCAGTTGCAGGCTAAGAAAATGCCTGAACATTGCTACTCTCTACTCAATACTTAGAAAAACAAAACAAACAACAACAACAACAACAAATGATCTGCATAACTGAGTGAAACTAACTTGGCAATAACCTTAGCTGTGCTAGAAGCTGCTACAAGTTGCTAGTGATGAAATAGCATAGACAGAGAAAAGGAAGGAAGGAAGCCTGGAGGGAAAGAAAAAAAAAATCACCCAGAAAGGAAATCAATGTGTGCAACAGAAGGAAGCATGAAAGTGAGCATGAAATCATAAAGAAAACCTGACAATATCCTTCGAACCTAATGAAACAAGTGAATGTTATCTGGTAGCTCAATTTTACAGTATCTGATGAAAGCTTCTGTAGCTGATCTTCCTGGAAGTTCTCTCTTTGACCAGCTGTCAGTATGGGCTAAATGGGCTAAATGCATCCCTTAACCCTTCCCCCAAGCCATAGTCAGAACCAGTCAGGCTTGATAACTACTTCTGAAATTCCTTCCTTCCTTCCTTCCTTCCTTCCTTCCTTCCTTCCTTCCTTCCTTCCTTCCCTCCCTCCCTCCCTCCCTCCCTCCCTGCCCCCTCACTCTCTGCCTCCCCCCTCTCTCTCACGTACACACCCACATACAGAAACCACAAAGGATTAAAATCTACTATGCAATCACCATGCCCAAAAAAAAAATCTTTGTGTAGATACAGGATATTGTGGTCTGAATGGTAGCAAAATGTAACATCTTTATAGAAAAGTGACAACACTGAAAGGAGGCAAAACATGTAGATCAAACTGCAGGTCATTATTTATTACTTTAACCTTTAGGATATGAAATGGTCTCGTTAACTGAAGAAAAATGCTTACTCCCATTATACTCACCAGCAGCTTTTTGAGACAAAGGAAGAGCAGCTTCTGAACCAAGGACTGGATTTTCATCGTTGAGGAAAGCTAAGATAGGTATAACAGCACACAGTTACAGCCACATTACAAAACATATTAAATTAAAATCTTGATGCACAATCATATCCTTTTCTGGAAAGATCTCTAAAAATCTGCAATTCTAATATGATGCAGAGTTCAGTTTAATACGTTAATATATATTAACATCCTTTTCATTGAGGTTTTACTTGTTAGCAAATATATTTAGGTTTAAAAAGGAATTGTTGTTAGCTGGTATCTATAAGGTTTGTAAGAATTCATGCTGCAGGAAATCTTGGTCCAAGATCCTAAACATACCTTGACTAGGAATGATCAGTTTGCAGGGTAGTGCTAATGGCATAATGGTGTGTTGATATACAAATGCTGAGAGACTCCCTGTAATAAAGAACAAATGAATGAGATTGTACAAAGTGTTCTTAACATCTCTGTAGCCCACATTACTACCTCACATCGCACACTTTATGTCCAAATTATTCATTTTCAGGTAATCAACAACTGGGGTAGCAGTGTTAACAAACTGGAGATTTTATGAAACCAGCAGACGTCTTTGTCTCTTGAAAAGAATGGGGTGAGGAATTTGAGTGACTGGAAGGCAGTTCTTGAGGTGGTGATGGTTTTCCTTTATTAGGATGCTCCCTCCCTTGTTACTTTGAATGGAATGATAGATATGGATGAAAATGGTAAAACATTTGATGCAAATTCACTCGCTAAATCTACTTCCAAACTAGAACACACTCTGTACAACACTACATATTTATTAAATTTTGCAAAAGCCCATAATTTTTTAAAAGATATCTGTACCAAAATCTATATATAATGGAAAGATTTATACAAAGATTTTTATACGTATTAGGAAAAGATCATTTGCACAGTGTGTGCATTTCTAATCCTTTAGAAAATATCCCCCCCCCAATAGATACCAATTTTTATGGGGATTTTTAAGAAGCTACATTGATTTGTGAGTAGGCCAATTGAATATCAGAGATTCAATCTGAAATGGTAAGATTCACTCTTCACGATAAAGGAAGAGATGGAAAAGATTATCTGTTCTTCCCATATAAGACATCACTAGTAAAAGGTTAGCTATCTCTGTTTATTGGTTCTAGGATTGTAGACTATGTGAAAAGTTCCATTGCCTCCCAAGACTGCCACATTTATGACTTTCCATAGACTTTCCACTTTCTACTTAATTGAAATAGAACACTGAATCTATTTCAAAGGGAGTGGGCATGATGCTGAATGGCTAAAGATGCTGAACTGGTCAGCTGGAAAGCTGACAGGCCAAGTTCGAGACCCGAGTGCTGTGTGATGTGTGAGCTTCAGTAGCTTGTCCCAGCTCCTGCCCAACTAGCAGTTTGAAAGCATGCACATGCAAGTATATAAATAGGTACCACTTTGGTGGGAAAGTAACAGCGTTCCATACACATGAATGTATAGTCATGCTAGCCACATGACTGCTGGCTCCCTCAGCTAAGAAATGAAGATGAATACTACCCCTTAGAGTTGGACATGATTGGAAAGGGGAAACCTTTACCTTTGCTGAATCAGATAGGCAGGGCACTTTTTTAGGTGCAAAAAGCAACACAAATGCAACTGCCTGAAACTCAGCTAATCGCAACACCAGCCAATAACTATATGCATGAATATATGACAGTCAAAGCTTAAGCATAAGTAGCTGAAACCAACCAAGTATCTTACCAAAATAGGGTTCTTCTTCTGCTCCCTTAAGATGCACTCCTTTGGGAGAAGATTCAACGAGGAAGTGTCTAATGTGGTTACCAACATCTTCTCCTTTAAAACAAAACAAAGGAATCTGAAATGCAACCTATAAAAAACCAACACCTTATATTGGAAGCTTTCCAAAGAGCTTTAAAAGTGGATTTTTTAGGCTTTATTCAAATCTGGCTTTCTTATTCTAATTTTGGTGCTGTTTATGTTTAATATTGACATAATTCCTGAACCTGGTTTTATACACAGAAATAGATAACACATGTTTTTTTTCCTGATTTTGTGATGCCATTATCATCATCTTTTGATTCTATGAAAATTCTTTGTTACAAATTTAAACCAGACGAAGGAGCAAAATTGTTTTGAGAACAGTTTTAGCTCACGAAACAAAGTGTTTCTGAATATAAATCAGTGATGGACTCATAGTGGAATTCTTCCAGAGATGTGGAAGTTAAATCTTTAAAAAAAACTAAACTCAATATCTCATGAAATGGGTTGTATAGTCTCTCAACAATTCATGTTCCTAAAATCCTCTGTTTAAAGAAACTTTATGTAACTGCAAATTCAGCAATGTGAGAATTGGATTGAATTTCAAGTGCAAGCTAATGAGTTGGAGTCCTAAACATAACAAGATATTTTACCACAAATGATAGAATTTGGGACTGGAATGAGACCCCCTGACCCTCTATCACAGTCATGAATGCAACTGTTTAAGGAACTTTTTCAGTATATGACAACAACAGAAAAGGCCTTCTATAAAGTTCATCCATACAAATAATCACAGAGAAAATATTGCTTTTGGCCTGCAAATGCAATGTAAACCAAACAAAATTGAGAAGAAGCAAATGAGCAGAGATTCTTTTAACCTATGTCTGTCCTCTCTATTTTCATAGGGATATGTTCATTTTTTGCAGTCTTTTCTAGCACAGAGCCTCAGATGGGTTGGAATACAGATTCCATAATTCCCAACGACCATCCTGGGTAAAACTAATGAGACTTGTAGTAGTTGAATATATTTAGAAGACATCAATGTGGCATGGTACAGTTTTACTCTAGTGATTTTTTTGAGGATAAACTCTTTCCCAACGTTCAAAAACGAAAGGGCAAAGTTTAAATGCTAAAAATAAATATTAATTTTTAACATTAAAACAAAGGTTGCAATATTAGCTAGCATTATTTACAATCTCTCACTGCGCTCTTCTGTTTTAAATAGATTATTTACGCAACCCGACAAAAATTGCTGTTTGAGCCACATTGGAGAAAATCTTTTACAGTTGTGTAGAATGACATGGAACAGGTTTCCCTCCTGCACTGCTTCTCTTAATGTTCATTAACTTCCATCTCCTCTATGCTTCATAACTCAGCTGGGGCACAGGTTGTTAATTAATAGAGAAGCTTACATTTCCCTTCAGTTGCATTCCCCTCCCTGAAGCTGATCCATGCTAAAGTCACAGAAAGCTTGCTTGTCCTGGCTTGCAACTATTTTACCCTGAAATTGTTGCCTGGACAGGCTCCAGCACATGAAGTTTGCTTTGTTTCTGTTTCATTTCCCCTGCGACATCTCGTAGGTTGCTTCCAATGTTAGAAGCAAAGTTTTCTCTTTACTTGAACTTCTCATTGCCCTTGATTCAGAAAGACTCTGAATATAGTCATTTACCAACTTTCGATTGTTTTATTTGTTCACAGTTCCTGTGGACGCCTCATCAGTCATTTCTCCTCTCCTCTTTCATTTACTCTCTGGGGCTTCCCCTACCATTGCTTTCCTGTGTGAAAAAACTTGAGATTTGTTTGGCTTTGATTTCTAAAACATGTAGCAACGATTGGTTGCTTTTATGGGGATGCTGTGCTCTATCAGTTATAGAGCTCTGTTTTTCATTTTCACAGAATTTCCTTAACTGTGTGCCACAAGGCAACTGGGAACATGCAGTGAGCAATATGTTGAATGATTAACTACAGCCATGACTTTGGAGTTTTTGGCCATGCAGGGAACTATCACCTCTCTGCATTAGCTGCAGTTGCATCATCAATCTTTAGAAGAATGAATGTGCTGCCTCTCTGCAAGAGTCACCAGCCTCTCTTGCTTTCCAACACTGTCAGAATTTTGAGAGTCTGCTATCTTTCCCTTCCTCGTCAGTATTCAGACTGGGAACATGCAGGTGGGAGCCTAAATAAAGAATCCCTTAAGTGGGGTTTCTGCATAGTTTGGCACCAGAGCAGCTTTTCTCAGTGCAGTGCCTTCCAAATATGCTGGAGCTGCAACTTCCAGACTTCCCAGCCAACTGTCCCTCTGCTTGGGAATTCTAGAATTTATAGTAAAATACATCTGGAAAGCATCAGATAGGAGAAGGCTGCTGTAGACCTTCTCTATTATCACCTCTTTGCAATTTGAAGCAGAAATTCTGAGTACCTGCTTTGTTGCTGAAAACTTTCAGGGCTAAGCCAAATGAGCCAGGATAAGATGTGCTGTCCCTCATAATAAATGTACCTGGTGGTTCATCCATTAGCAGTTGGATAGCTGTTAAAACATACACCAAAGAACAAAGTGTCACCATATCAAAGAATAAAGAGAGATAATCATTTGTATCTTTTGCAAACAGAGTTTCCTGTGTTCAAAGCATTTCATGTGCATTACTTAGCTGGCGCCTTTACAGTATCCCCATAGGTAAACCAATATTGTGATCATATGTTGCAGAGAGGGATAATGGCTTACCTAAGACCATTAGGCCATTACACAGAGGCCAGATTGGAATCAGGAGCTTTTTGATTTACAGCTTAGTCTCTTTGCTGTTCGTTATCTGAGATAAGACTAGAAAGGCTCTATATTTGAAAGAATTGGGCAGTTTGAAGGTCCTAGGGAGAAAATATTGTCTGCATGTCTTTATCTATTTTATTCTCATAAAATGCTTTTATGCTTTCCTTTCCCAGGTATGATCTGGTATTACTGGCTTTGTATATAGGGTCATATCCCAAAACAAAATTGTGGGGAATTATTTGAAAGAACAAACAAAATGCCTTATTTAGCATGAATATATGTAACAAAAACTTAAATAATAGCTAGGAAAAAATACTAGTTATATAGACAACATCTCTTAAGATGCCAAGACATGGCAGTGTGATTGGATACCAGTCTTTATCAATGGATTTTATCTTACAAATAAGAAAGTAAATGACTATTGATGTAATTATTTTGAGCAGCAGTATCAACTCAATTTGAATGTGACAAATATATGTAAGGCTGAAACTTACATCGTACTAAAGAAATAAGTTGTCCCAAAGTTTGGAGTTTCAAAACATCAGGAAGTAGGTAAATAGGTAGATAAATAGTAAATTGAGGCAGAGAAAAATAACCGAGAGACATTTATTTTGTCTCATCTAATAACTCTACCAAGTTTTTAATGCTCCGAACATTCATTTGTATTTCCAGAAGCTTCCCTGTTCCCAATGAGGAAGGGATAGAAAGGATTAAATCCTTTCACCACTGTATTCTGCAAGTTGACTCTTTCCCAAAATGGACATGTAAATCAATATAAATCTGATACATTTTCCTTTCTGTATCTATATGACATTGCTTCAGGGCTTTTTACAGTCTTAATTTTAATAGATCAGTTAAAACCATACTGAATTTTGTTAATAACTTATATGGAGCATTTGTGCATAGCTTTCCTAATGTACCCTGTTATTAGCCCAAATAATTGAAGTAATCTCTTTTAAACACATTTCTCTGAAATTATTTTTGTTGCATAACTCTTCCTTATTATCCTTTTCACTATACCCATGTTCTGAGCCAAAGGAAGAAAATGGCTAGGAAAAGTATAAAGTCTAGGAGAGAAAAAGCACAGGGAAGCCGATTTCTATTGGTTGTTTTTTTCTCCTCCTACTACAATTTCTGCCTCCACTTTCTACATCAGAAGCAAGCTTGGAAGTCTCTGTTTCCAAGACTACCATAGATGGATGTGCTCCTAGAAAGAAGATAAAGGTATGGTTCAGGTACAACAACAGAATGTTGTTGCTGTCCTTGAACCACACCTATGGTGAAGAAGTCAAAAGATGGCTGTTGGATTTGAAGTTGTTGTGGATTAAATGCTCTTCAAGGATCCCATGGCCATCCCAGCAAGGTTTATCATTTAACAACAGCAACAAAAGGATGAAATAGTCATCCCTTTTTTGTTTCCCCCCAAAAGCATGTTTATTAGGATATTAGATCCCTCTAGCACTGCTCAGTCCAATACTCTAAAGCGAAGCCTTAGATCAGGGGTCTTCAAACTTGGCCCTTTTATGACTTGTGGACTTCAACTCCCAGAATTCCTCAACCAGTGTGCCTGGCTGAGGAATTCTGGGAGTTGAAGTCCACAAGTCATAAAAGGGCCAAGTTTGAAGACCCCTGTCTTAGATGGAGCTGCCAGCAACTTCTTTTTTTCTGAAATGGATCTTGGAAGTAAGTATTTCTAGCCTGCTTTCCAAGGCGAAAAATATGTATTAAAAAACTGGACAACACCATGAATCCATAAAAATTCAGTAAAACTCCTTCCACAGAGATGGGAAGGGACATCAGCTCATGTAACTAATTCATGTAACAATCATATTTATCTTTGTGTCTGAATCAGGCCACATTCTTAGGCTTTTAGCTTTCTTGCCTTTCCTTCATTTTGTGTATTTGTTGCTTGCTGTTCCTTAGATTACCTTGGTCTCTTGTGATGCTGGGTTTAAACCAATATTTCGAGGTGTCCATCACAAACTTCATAGTTGTCTGGGCTTCTTTGGAATACCCTGTATGAATATATATACATATATACACATCTGAGTTAAAAAAAAGTTAGGAAAAAGTGGTTAGAAAAACCAGTAAGATATTTTTCATCATAGAGTTTTTTTAATCTTAGAAAAATTTCTGCATATAACGAAGGTTTATAAAATAAATGAAAACAAGGTGAGAGGAAAAAGAGATTGTCCATCCATTTCAATTTATAAATACTGAAATTGATGGACCACACTGAGATAATGGGAGAGACCCAAATTCTTTCCAAATTCCCAGTGATCCTACTGAAATCCAGAAAGTAAGTTAGAAATGAAAATTTCTTTTGCAATTAAGGCAAGGGCATAAGGGGAGGGGGTTAAAAATATCAAGATGGTTCAATGAATTTATAATGAAAGCCATACCCTATGTTTACATATGTCACACATAATATTGCTTCCATCATTTCATTATAGCTTTCATTTTGAGGGGGAGAGGTTTTGACACCCTTTGCAGATGTCCAGAGGGTAGGTGGACTTTTATAAAGCTGGGAAAAAAATTCTTTTGCATGGTGATATAACTAATTTTAAAAGAAAACAAAATTTAAAAGAGACTGCTTAGTTGTGATAGCTTAAAACACAACTTTCACATTCAAGGACTTTAATGAATCTCCAAACTGAATCTCCTCAAATCACATGCCAGAATTTTAAGTCAATTTTGCTGTTTTAGACCCAGCCTCTGGATTTTGTACTGCCCTCCTCTACCTCAAAAGTAAATACTGTTTAATTAGATTTCCTAGCAAACATTCAAAACCCCAACATTACATGTCAGGATTTAATATTAACAGAGTGACTAAATTGTCCTAGAACATCTAGCTACTCTTAAGCAACAATATGCCATTCTAGATGAATTATTGATTGGATGTCCCTGATCAGCCACCTTGTTTTTCTGATAGTCCTACTTTCTAGAAGGAGGATGCAGGGTTAATTTAACTTGCAAGTCTGCAACTGCCCCTTCCTCCTTGGTTGGAGTGATATTGTTCAGATGGTAGCAGAGAGAATCATGTATGAGAATGGGAAAGCAAGGGAAGTCCATTTCGGATACTGGTGTTCCCCACTAGCTTTCTTCTCAAGCTGATTGTCAGATGGAAAATATAAGGGAAAAGGTTGCATTGAAAGGAATTTACTTTATCTTGATTTGTGCTTTTTCCTCACTAAGTTTCTTGAAATACTTCAAAAGACCCACAGGGGAAAATGAGGGAGGGTAGTGAATTAACAAATAGGGAATATGTGGTCAATTTAGGAAACTTTACCAGGCTGATTATACAGATTGGCCCTATTCCCTGACTTTTGTATACGCAGGCACACTGCCATTTTTACTTTGGATAACTTCCTTGACTTCCTACAGCAGGGAAATTTTATTTCACCCATCCTCTAGATTGGTACTTTTTAGATATTGGACCTCAGCTTCCAGAATTCTTACCAACATCCATGTTGGCTGGGGAAGGAGTGGCAATCCAGACTGGTGAACCACATGTCTGAAAGATACATGATCTGAGGAAGGTTGTTTATTCCCAAAAGTTGTATTCTCTCCCAATTTTTAAAATAAAAGATTCATTTGCAGTCCAATTGGAAATGAAACAAAGATGTGAGCTTCTAGTCACAGGGATGGAAAAACTTACCATCCAGAGAAGAAGTGGAAGAACTTGAGTTGTCAGAATAGGAGTTGTTTAAACCATTAACTCCTGAAAAACTGCTGGATTTGGCTTTAAGCATCTTATCTTTGAAGGAACTGGAGCAGCCCCTGGAAAGTTGAGTAGCTGTCTCACTCTCTTCTGGGAGACCATTGATGAGCACTATAGGAATTGGGAGTGGGGGATTTGAAGATGAAAGAGAGTGGGTGTGGGTGAGGGTTTGTCCCTTCTGGTATGCCTGAGTTAGAGGAGAATTCGCTTTCTGGGAGCATGTGGCTCTGGGGTAGGAAGAACCAGGGCTGTTGGATGCAACATAACACCCTGTCAGGGATTCAACGGAGGAGGGGCTTCCTATTGACTTGATTAGAGGTATGTCAGATTCATTGTTGGACAATGATTGGCTGCTGCTGCTGCAAAAGAGAGAAAAAAACATACAAAATTGTTAAAGAAGATTAGGGTTGTACTACTGTTAGTTCTAAATATCCATGTGGGAGCATATGCTAAGTAGCCAAGATATTAGAACTCTCTAATGGTGTCCAGTTTTGCTGAGCATGTTTAAAAGACTAATAGAAACTCACCTAGATAAAGCCAGCGTGATCAGCTAATTAGTGGTTTGTTGTTGTTTTTTAAACACCCATCTTTTCAAAAGTCTAAGTAGAGGTAAATGATATTTCTTTGGAGAGGGCACATTTTGATGAAATTCCTCAACTAACTAATGGGGTATCATCAAGAAAATAGTTTGTTCTGTATTATTCCAGAATGCGAGACTAAATATGGTCTTAAGTTACAGATTCCACTTGGACATTAGGGAAAAAACCCAAACAGTAAAAGAGTTTGGCTATAGAAATAAATTCTTAGAGAAGTGGTATGCGAAACCACACCCCCTCTGATCCATGGAAAAACCTCTCCATGGAACCAGTTCCTGGTGCACAAAAGATTGGGGGTCACTGCCATAGTCAATGCAGACAAAGTGGGACTTCTAACCACCAACCTTCTGAAGGAGAAGGCACTTAAACAGAATGAATGGAACTGAATAGGCATTTGGATTCAGTGATTTATGTGGCCCCTCCATCTCTAAGATCTTTCTGCTGGATTCAAGCAGCAGATATTGGGTACATTAGTGGATTTGCTTAGGTGTCTATTGATTTGGCTCCCAGCATTTCCTAGCCTTGATTTTACAGAAGTGATTCGTAGTTATTTTGACATAGTGAGGGATGCAGAGGAGCTAGGTATTTTGGCTATGCCCAAAGAAAATAACATAGCAGCTGCCTTGAAATACACCTTCCCTTACCATGTAGAAGGTACGATACCCAAACAAGTCAGTAGGTGAAACCTACTTTTTTCCTGTCACTTCCCAGTTCCAGTTCATCTTTTCCAGCCACCATCTTTAAATGTGCACAATTGCTGCTCGATTAGAGGTAGTGTGGCCAGACCAAGGTATCTTTTGAGGGAACTACTCTACTCTGATTCAGTTTTTTTTTATCATTGCTACTATTTTCTCCTGCCATTATTGTTGTACATTTTTTCCTCCTCCTTTCATCTTCCTGCCTGATAGTCGTCTAGTGAGCCAGCACTGCAAAGTAGCTCAGGCAATGATTTTTCACAGAGAAATGTGGAGTAATTACACAGGATAACCCCTTTTATAGAATGCATTTACCTTCCGAGAATGTAACTGGTGTCTGACCCAGGACTTGTTGAAAGCATTGATGCCTCACTGCATCGCTGTGCCATCCTCCTGAGCTGCAGGATGCCCGGAGAGGAAGCTAGGGAAGAATTTGAACCATAGGATGCAAAATTCTTCTGATCTCGTTGTGGAATGGAGATACTCTCTGATACTTGGATGCAAGTTGGTGACTGTCTTCCTGTAGGGGAGAAATGCTGTGCACTTCCAGAAATATTACCAACAGCATCATAGTTATAGCCAAGGTTGCCTCCACGAAGAAATAAATGACTGCGGTTTGGGGAAGATACAGAAAGTGGAGTGCTGCAAGGACTTCTTGAGCTCTGCCAAGACTCTTGATACTTGGTTTTGCCTGGTGACATTTCAATATATTTTATGTCTGGTAAAAACAACAAGAGAAAATAAGATAAACTTCAAGAGTCACAAAATCAATTATATATATGTAAATGCAGTAAAGAAGTTGACTACTGTCTATGGAGAGGCATACAAATGATTTAGGTTCAACAGTCCTAAATCATTTGTATGCCTCTCCATAGACAGTAGTCAACTTCTTTACTTCATTTACATATATATATAAGTAGATTTTAAAGACTTGTACTTAATGTATATCAATACCTTATAATCAGCAGCACATGGGTGGGAAGGGGCAATTGAAATTAACGAATGAACTAACAAGATAGAAATCTTGGGAAAATATACCCTTTATATGAAGAATACAAAAATCCTATGTGAAAAAGAATGCCAGAAATCTTAATATCCAAGAAAAAAATAGGATATTAGGAGAGAAGTACCAGGGTCTGATGGAGTACTGGCGAGGATGTGGAAAATAAAGACCAAAGTCATCACAGTGGTGGTAGGAGCACTCAGAGCTGTGTCTTCTAAATTGGGAGAGGGGCTCCAACAGATCTCAGGAAAAACATCAGAGCTCTCTGTCCAGAAGAGAGCAATGTTAGGAACAACTAGGATATTGTGCTGAACCCTCAAACTTCCAGGCCTCTGGTAGAGCCACTTGAGATTGAAGAAGATGTATACCACCATAAGGATGAGAAGGGAATTATTATCATATCATATAATATCAATCATATCATATCACATCATGTCATACTATATTATATTAATCATACCATATAATATCACTAATATATGGTGAGATTAAAAATCTAATCCAAAATAATATTCTGCATTTCAATTATCATCATCCATGACCATACTCCATGAGACGGTGAGAATAGTAGTGGCAGCGGGAGTAGTTTCAAAGGGATACTGGGTTGTCTACTGAAGACAGACAAAGAAATAAGGAAGCTCTAACCTTACAGAGATTTTGGATCATACAGATTATCATTGACAGTTGGTCAGATTGGCAGAGATTAATGGTCCAGTTACATCATCATATAGATCAACCTTCCATATTTCCCAACAAGAAAGAAATATGGCTAAGAATTCTGGGAATTGCAAAACCCCATTACCATTGCCATTAGAACATTTATTATCATTATTTCAAATTACTGTATAACCTGGTTTTTTCCCCAAAGAACAATCATTAGTGGGGGACCTCATACTGAATCAGACAAATGCTGTATCTGGTAATCTTATATGCTCATGATTGATAATTCATTCCAGCACAAGAATACTGGAGTTAAAGACCAGACTATCTAGGTGGATAAACACCATTTTCAAGCACTTCTTTTTTCCAGGTGCAGATAACCTTCTAGTCAGACCCGGAAGTGGAAGAGCCTCCCCCCAACAATCTGTTTTGTAGACGCATCCAAGCAAGCTTCATGTCAATGAGTCCATTACTTGTTGGCACCTGTATAAAAGGGTGGGGATGCAAGCTTCAGTTGTTCTCCTTTCCTGCCTGTTCTAACAGCAAATGAGAAACATCTGGTTACTCCCAAAGAACATATCAGATACAAGTAAAAGGAGATTGCACAAGGCCATCTCCTTGTGCTGTTTTGACTCCATCTAAGCAATGATCTCATGCTGACCTTTACCAATATGCATATAATTAGTAAATATGCATTCAGTTTCTTTTTCTAACATGGAGCTGCATTTCAAAGCAACAAGGTGAGTTTATATTACTACTAGTGCTGCCAATACTTTCCCTAGCATTTGGTTTTAGAAAAGAAGAACCAACATTTATTTGCAAAAATCATTTAAAATTTTTTCATTTAAATTTGATATTGCAAGACATACCACTTTAGACACAGTTAGATTTTAAAATGTTTAATATACTAGATGTATATAGTACACATATAAGAAACTTTTATATGGATATGATTTTGAAGAAAGAATACAAAGAAAAATAAGAGACATGCAACTTTCCTAATGGTTTGCTCTTCTGTTCAAAATGCCTCAAAGTGGGTTTTACACATTTTAGTTTACAAAGAATTATTATTGATTTTTTTCTCCTCAAGGGACATATGACCTGTAATTCAGTTAGAACACATGAACTTCTCAACCCCCTTTCTTTCTTTTCTTACATAGCACCCACATTAAAAAAGCTCAACAGTAGTTCACATTCTGTACATGCAAAAGATCAAGGCTAATCCCTAACAGCTGCCATTCTAGATGAATTATTGATTGGATGTAGCTGATCAGCCACCTTGTTTTTCTGATAGTCCTACTTTCTAGAAGGAGGATGCAGGGTTAATTTAACTTGCAAGTCTGCAACTGGATTGGCAAAAGTTGCTGTTGGAAATCTGCTCAATTGCTATCACTCTATGTGAATACTGACCCAAAAGGATCAATAATTCAGTTTGGAATTGGGCAGTTTTAAAACATATTGATTTCAAAAACCTGCAAAGACATATCAGTTAAACTTGATCTTGATCTGTTTCATATATTAGCCAGGACTCTCAAGAACAGAATCCTAAGTTGAAAATATAAATGTGTTTCATCTTTTATAAAAATGTATGTACATATATATTGTCTGAAGCACCTATAAAGAAGTGCTTCAGTGTCGGCTTCCAGTTTGCGATCGTGGTGCAGGCGGATGTTCAGGCTGATTGCTCTCCCTGCCGTCCAGTTTTCTCCTGCTGGGGGGCTCTGAAAAGGGTTGGAAGTCACCTTGGAGGGGCAACGAGTGTGAAGAGGACCCCTGAGTGATCGTGGAAGGGCAGCAGCCCTCCCGTTTGATCCAGGGTAGCTCTTCTAAATGATGGGGAAAAGACCGGCCATCAACTAAGCCCATCACTAAGCCGCTACCAGCCGAGGCCAAAATTAGAAACAAGCACTTCAAAAGCAATGCGGAGGAATTGGGTGAGACTCTACCTTCTCTATACCCCAAGTAACTCTCCTGTTAAAAGCTTTTTGAAATTCTTCCCCTTCTGAGGAGAGAGGGAAGGGAACTTTCCCCCCCTCTAAAATGGCGACATTTGACTACCTGGGAAAACAAAGCATTGAAAAGAATAACTTAATATAATTGGATTTACATTTTTTGGGGGGAATCTGGGGACCCAAAAAGTTCCTACTCTTACTGGAACCTGCTATTTTATTTACTTGTAAAAAGGAAGAAAAAAAGAAAGAGCTGTAGGGTTTCCTGCTTGAGCAGGGGGTTGGACTCAATGACCTCCAAGGTCCCTTCCAACTTTTTATTATTATTATTATTATTATTATTATTATTATTATTATTATTATTATTATTATTATTATTATTATTATTATTATTATTATTATTATTATTATTATTATTACAAGATGGAGGGCTTTGAAGATCAACAAGTACAGCTTACTGAAAACTTAGACAATCAAATAACAACTACAAAATTGGACATGACTTTCTACCTAAACCAGAAGAAACCTGAGGAAGAAGAAGATCAGATCAAATTGAAGACAACTATACTAGAGCAAATATGGGGATCTGAGCCACTAGGGCAACAGCTTAATGATTATAAATGGGCCAGTCCCTCCAGAAAATTGACAACTAAATAATAATAATAATAATAATAATAATAATAATAATAATAATAATAATAATAATAATAATAATAATAATAATAATAATAATAATAATAAAAAAAAAAAATAAAGTTGGAAGGGACCTTGGAGGTCATCAAGTCCAACCCCCTGCTCAGGCAGGTAACCCTATACCATTTCGGACAAATGGCTGTCCAGTTTCTTCTTAAAAACTTCCAGTGTTGGAGCATTCACCGCTTCTGGAGGCAGGTTGTTCCACTGATTAATTGTTCTAACTGTCCTGCCTTCAGGCACTTTGGAAAATAGCTTGACTCCCTCTTCTCTGTGGCAGCCCCTGAGATATTGGAACACTGCTATCATGTCCCCCCTCATCCTTCTCTTCATTAAACTAGTCATACCCAATTCCAGCAACCTTTCCTTATATGTTTTAGCCTCCAGTCCCCTAATCATCTTTGTTGCTCTTCTCTGTATTCTTTCTAGAGTCTCAACATCTTTTTTACATTGTGGTGACCAAAACTGGATGCAGTATTCCAAGTGTGGCCTTATCAAGGCATTGTAGAGTGGTATTAATACTTCGTGTGATCTTGATTCTATCCCTCTGTTAATGCAGCCTAGCACTGTGTTGGCTTTTTTGGCAGCTGCAGCACACTGCTGGCTCATATTTAAATGATTATCCACTAGGACTCCAAGATCCCTCTCACAGTTACTACTATTGAGCAAGGTACCCCCTATACTATACCTATACATTTGGTTTTTCTTGCCTAAATGTAGAATCTTACTTTTTTTCACCATTGAATTTCATTTTGTTAGACAGCGCCCAGTGTTCAAGTCTGTCCAGATCCTCCTGTATCCTAAGCCTGTCTTCTGGAGTGTTGGCTATTCCTGCCAACTTGGTATCGCCTGCAAATTTGATGAGTTCCCCATCTATCCCCTCGTCCAAATCATTGATGAAGATTTTGAAGAGCACTGGGCCCAGAACAGAGCCCTGGGGCACCCCACTACACACTTCCCTCCATGTAGATGTGGTTCCATTGAAGACCACATGCTGAGTACGGCCGGTCAGCCAGCTATGGATCCATCTGGTGGTGATTCTGTCTAACCTGCATTTTTCTATCTTATCAAGTAGTAGGTTGTGATCTCCTTTAATTCAAGTAACATGTACAAGAATGAAGGGAGATCTATCTGACAATCTAAAAACATTGGTATGGAAGCCAGGTTGGCATAAAAAGAAAGCTAGAGTTAGGTTTAAAAATAGGGTCATTTGATTTATTTGAGAGATCCTAAAGAACTAATGGGCTAAAGGGAGATTTTAAGATGAGGGGAAATTTGATTATTAGATTTAAAAATTGTTGGAAAATAATAAAAAATAAGGGATTAATTGGAGTAATATTGAGGACTTTGACTTACAAGGGAAATGAAAACTAACTATTAGGAAATAATTTTGAATTATTGTTTAGCCCAGACAATACAGATGATGGACTTGAGATAACAAAGGATACTCCATTATTAAGTGGTGATGTACTAGGATGAGAAACAGAAAATGTTTTTGAATTAAAATAAGCATATATTTAAGTAAGTAATATGTGTATTTTAGATATTATAACTTTTATGTAGTGAGACAAAGGAAATTTGGGTTACCCAAAACTTAAATACTATGGATATTAAAGGTTAAATTGGAGTGTTATAATTAAAAACTAAAAATTAGGTAAAAGTTAAAAACAGGATATGGATATGTATAAGCAAAAAATGTATTGATAAATGTGGTAATGAAGTTTTAACTGAGTTTGATACAATTAGAAATTCATTAGCTTAAATATGATATAGCAAATGTTAAGGGAAATAGAGGAGAAATATTTGATGATGCAACCTGAGATATGTACTAAAGATTTTGTTATTGAATTATTGTCCAACCCAATCACCACGTTGCTTTCCAAATACTTAAATGTAAAACTGGAAAACTAATAAAATATTATTAAAAAAAAGAAGTGCTTCAGTGTCCATAATCTTTTTTCTTGGTATTTACTGCATATATTTGCAGTGCAGGTCAACGTAGCTGTTCATAAGAAGAGCACACCCAAGCAAATGATGCCATCCATGGGCATTCTACATTCCAAAAACTATGCCAAATACCAACTCTAATATGCCATTATGAGTCATGCTTATCTTCCTGCCTTGCCTTAAGGATTTGGTTACTGGTGGGGATTGATAGGCTGAAAATGACTACCTGGTCTATGCAACTGGAATGAGAACTGTAGTCATCTGCAGCTTGGATTCTAGCATTAAAAACTAATTTTGCTGAGTGAAAGCAGATGAAGAAACTTTAAGTTATTGGAGATTTGATTGCTTCATATGACAATGACTTTTTAAGTACTGTATGTGCAACAATAATTTCCTATGCTGGCCAAACCAAAATAAAAATTATAGCATCTTGCCATTTGATAAATAATAAGCAGTACTGTAATTATTTTACTAACAATCTGTGGTGTGTTCTTGAGCTGGAGCTGTATTGCTTTCATATCCTGTTTGTGGCTGCTTGGATGGTACCTGGCATGCTGTTACTGACAAATGGATGATAGGCATTGCGTATCTGGACAAAAGTTGGATCTTTTGTCTTATCCAGAATAAGTGTTATGATCTACAACAATGGTAAAATTTAACTGATTAGAAAAAAGTCACACTTGCTATAATTTCATTGAAATCAATAAGGCTTATTTGTGAAAACCAACTTATTGTTTTCAGTGAGTTTATTTTAAGGATGACCAAACTTGGATAAAATTCTAATAGTACAATCATGAGCCATAGAATATGTGACATTTTCTGAATCCCTGCTTTTTATGGTGCCTTGCAAATTCCATTCTAGAATAATTACAGGAAATTTGCATAGGCTGAAACATTTATTAGCTAATTTTTTTTAAAATAAACTAATGCAATATCTATATCTGCAAAGCCAGAAATCTTGATTGAGTCATACACAAGAGATGTAATGTGTCAGCATGATAAGTGAACTATTTAACCTGTAAAAAAAACCCCTCTGCTTAGCCAACCCAGAGGAGATTAAATTTAACAGGAGGAGGAAGGTGTGTTGGATATAATTGCCTTGGGTTGTTTATGAAAATAATACAAATGGGATACAAACAAAAAAAATAAATATTAAATTTGGTCCCAAATAGTCCTGGGTTAATTTGGTTTTAATTAATTTCCTGGTAAACCACTCAAAGTTGCCCTGAACCTTGAGATGGGCAGCAAATAAACTTGATAAATAAAAATAAATAAATACATTAACTCCTTCCCTGTTGAGTCAAGTCCTTTACTGAGATTAAGCTGACTTTCCTTATTTCCAAAACAGATAACCAAAAAAGAAACTCCTGTCTTTGTTTCCTTAGTAGATTTCACCCCCCTCCCACTATCAAGGACATCTGCTGGGAAAGAAAAAAAAAGTCAAGTGACTTGAGCCTTTTCATCTCCTTCATAGACAGGACACCCATAGAAAGGGTTGGGGTTTCACAGCATTATGAAATGTAGACCCACCTATGGATACCCTGCTCCCTTTTTATGGTGACATGCTATGGGAGAGTGAAAAGGGAACAAAAAGATCCCTTCCCTATGCCTGTCTAGTATAATTTTGGCAACCCTAAAAATGCCATTGCTGATCTCCATTTTCATGGTAAAATAATAAAAAAGGCAGGAAGTAGGCAGAGAACTGATAGCATCCAGACAGCTTTGTGGCAGCTAATGGGTTAAAAGATTGCTAGCATATGACTGAATAGTCATTCTATGTCTCATTAAATGACTAGAGGAAGGGTAACAGAGTTTGAGTTCTTCCTGTATAGTCTTTGATAGAACAACTTTTACTAGATGATCGCCAGACGTTAGCTATAGAATTCAATGGGTTGCCAAAGCAACAAAGTCTCAACTTGTAATCTATCTGCCATAATTTTCCTTTTCAGACAAAACCCATTAAGAGTGAAAAAACATATATGTTTTGATGTCTTTTTATTAGTGGCATCTAAGAGCCCCCGAATCACCCTTTCTTGCAGGGTCATTTCTACACACATTTTTAAATGCAAGAAATGGCACGTTCATTGCAGTGTTTTTGAGAGGCTTCCACTCCACCCTCTAGGAACTGGTCTTGATTGTTTATATAAATTTTCAGAGCTTAAGAACAAATAGTGCAGCTTTCTGAATTTTCTGCACTCAATTTCAATTCTCCAGGCCTAAAATCTCTAAATGATGGGGAAAGAAATTACTTTTAGAGCGATCTCTTTTGGTTTGAGGGATTTCATACCTTACCTGATGTATCAGGTTCATGCTTTGCTACTGCACTGGTGTTGCTTTGTGGAGCAATTTGGGAGGGACTGTCTGCCTGGTTCGGCTGTTGGAGTGGCTTGAAAGTTGGGTCAATTTCCAAGATTAAGCGGTTCAAGTTCTCAATAGATATATCCAAAGTAGGAGAGGCTGGATAGCTGTCTTCATTTGGCCCCTTTGGCTGTTCCTGCTGTTTGTCCTCACAATCTTGAGAGGGCATGGGTGTGACTATTACAGTAGATTTAACAGATTTATTAGGTAGTGAACATTCTTGGGTTTGAGCCAACAAGTTCTCCCTGTCCCAGCCTTTCACTGTATAATAAAAACACTGCATTGGCAATGTGTGACAGGACAAACCATCATTTGGGTGCTGCAAGCAGGCATGTTCCTCTTTGGGTGAAATGCACACTGTCTGCCCAACCCGTACCACATGATTTGGGATGACTTTTGACATCCTGAAGCTATTAAGTCTTCCTGTCTTTATGTTGTGTTTGATTCCAATTTTGCCAATACCTGTAAACTTTAGTTGGGTCCTGATTCATTTATTGAGAAATCCCATATGCACAGGACCTTAAAAAAGAAAGAAAGAAAGAAGTGCACTTTAGTTTCAGAGAAGGGAGGGGGAAGAGGGAAAGACACATTTTAGCACTAGGTGAACAACTTCCTAAAATTGTGATTGTCTCTGGGAATTGGTATGCAATTTGACAGATAAATCTGTTCACTATGGAATTACACTTCATTTTATGGAATAGAGCTGATACTGGACAGCCACATACTTTCAAAGGCAAAGCCTTTTACCAGCTTTCAGATTTCTTTACCTGACAGTCAGAAACCTCACTCTAGGAACCCATGCACTGCTATTTGTAGGGTAGATCTATGGAAATACATCTTCATAAGGTGGCACTTGAAGATACTCTGGAAATGGCAATCAGCCAAGAATACTGCATTACATTTGATAAATAGTGTTTTTGGGGGGTCCTACGTTGCCGCTGTATTGAAACAGCTTCCTTCATAATTGGTTTCCTTCCAGTCCAATTCAGGATGCTCACAATACTGTATGAACTCTTATATGGCTTAGGTCCAAGTTACGTAGGGGACTGTCTGTTCCTCTACAATCCACTCCCTGCTGTTAGGTGAGGCATCTCATTGCTTGCAAGTCCTGCCATGGATCTACTGATCATTAATGGAAATTTTTACTTTATTTTACTTTATTCCTATCATGGCTAGTATTATGGAATAAACTATTATTGGGATTCTATCTTATGGTCACTTACTAAAAGTATATGCCTGAGGGAAGTTACAAAATTTAGGAGGATTTGTTTTTTAAATTCTCAAAATAAAATAAATGCTCAAAATGTATTTACTTTGGCTTTTAAATGCTGCTGTTTTATGTTTTATATTGCTTTTGTTTTTATAGTTATTTCATCTCTATAAGTTCCTAAGAAAAATGGAAATAAGGAAACAAGCAGCTGTTTTCTTTTATTATAGACAAAAAAATCTCTTAATTATTATATCATGACTTCATGGGGGAATTGTCTGTAGTCAATAGAATAGCTGTATTTCAAAGACATTAAGTAACATTGATAATCAAAACCCAAGGAAACCCCAAAGGGCAAAAGTTAGGTGCTAGAGAAATTAGGACAGGCCTGGACATATCAAAATTTAAACTTTAAATTTCAGAGATTGTATAATAGTCATGTAAGCAAAAAGTAGATATGGAAAGTTAATAAAATAATACTCATAGAAGGAAAAATATTTTTAGAAGTGCAGAAGCAGCACAGAAAAAATATGGCTGAGGCATCTATATACAAAGACAGAAGCACAATTGGTCATAATTATCATGACCAATTTCCATAGTGTGCATTATTTCTTTATTGCTTTGCCCCTTGATCTTTGTTATATCTCCATTATAATGTCAGAGAAATCTAATGATGATATTTAGGTTTTAAAAAATCAAATACTTAAGCATGTTCTTCAGAAGCAGACAAATTGGTGATGGACTGGGTTATCATTCCTCCATGGTGGAAAAGCTCTTGATAGACATGTTATGACTAGTAATAGTTGACTAACTGCTTTGAGGGCTGATGGATGAGGTAAATGTAAAGTTTTGAGAAATAGCGAGAACATGATGTTCTAGGAATTATATAACAACTGGCCATGAACAAACAATTCCTTTTTGTTCTCTTCCTCTGAAAAGCTAGTCTGTACATTTTCAGGGCCATCCATAATCCTCATGCCTTTTTACATATGTAGTAATAAACAGGCAAAAGTTCAGGTGAGGTGGGAGAGGACCAAACTTTTAAATTTGCTCCTTTACAATTTATTCATTCTTGCCCCCTCCCACAAGCCCCTCAACAATTGATCATCTGCTTTATGTATAGAGTTGCATGCAATAGCTTGCTACAGACTATACTGTCTGAGAATTTTGATCATATCCTGGCAATAGAATAGAAATGGCAGCATTTAACTGTCCTTGGCTATTCTTAAAAAAGCTAAGCAGATCTGGATGTGGTTTGTATTTAGCCAGTAGATCACCCCAAGGCTCTAGGCTAGACTGGGAAGTAAAAAATATTCCAGAAGAGCCAAAACACTGTATTGATCTGTCCAGGAGTCAAGCTTGATTTTGGAAAAAGACTACATTTATTAGTTTACATGTTATAAATTCCAGGTTAATGTTTTTTATATAGAAGGGTCAAGAGGAATGAGCAAAAATGATTATTACTTGGAAACTCTTGTATTATTTTTCACAGCAAATAAAGTTTAAGGAAGACAATGGTTATTTAAAGGAGGGGGAAGAATGATATTGATGGGAAATGGCTCTTTTGCAACTTCACAAAATTGTGTGGTCCAGCCCCATGCTAAATGGATAATGAAACATTCTGAGCTAGCTATCAACCCTCATTAAAATACCACTAATAAATCTTTATATTTTATATCTTGAGAAAACAATAAAACTTATAAAAATACCTCTAATAAAGAAAACCACCATTCTTCAAAAGTGTGGATAATTCTTGTCCTTGGGAAATGTTTCCTCCCTGCTTGGGAGAAGGAGCTATGCAGGGAAAACACTAATTGTAGGTTATCTCATTTTGGGACTACTGAGTTTGTTTCTGAAGTTTTTATAAGAGAGCACAATTAATTAGGCATTCAGTTTATTCAGGTATGGCTTCTGAGAAAGGAAGGCCTCACAACCTTTGGGGCAATGGATAAGTTGTTGGACTGGAACCAAGAAGAATGTGGCCTTCCGGGTGAAAAAGAAGCAAATATATTGTGCCAAATGATCAAGCATACCCAGTTTTCAATGTCACGATACCCGGTTTAGGCATTATGAAGGAAGGCCAAATTCTGATCACCTCTGGGGTGAATGTGCTTGTTCTGCCTCCCACACACAGAAGGCAAGAGCAGCTGGAAAGAGAGCAGAAATGACTTATTTATAGTTAAGAATTTACCAGGCCTTTACACTTTCAGACAAGTTCCACAGTAAGAACTCTGGGCCATGGCGGGAATGGGTTGGATCAGTTTCCATAATGCAAGCAAGGAGCTTATACTACACAGATATCTCCACAATCTCACAATAGGACAATATTGTCTCTATATTGCAATAGGGGGACTGAGTTGGGAGAGCAGACTTTTTCTTGTTCATATTCTTATATATTACCTTAAACTTGTAATGTTTGATTTTCTGGCTTTTAGTGATTCATGTGGAGAAAATGGAGTAATTTCAGTGAAGATACTGTGATATTTATTGTCATGCTTCTAGTGACATGTTCTTCATTTAACTGCACAATGAAACCTACTAGATAGACACACATAGGCAACCAGCATCCCTAACTTTCATACGCTTCATGTGTATTTTCAGATGCAAGGGCTTTTTGTTCATATTCATACTAGTTGAGGTCCAGCAAATGATACTTCCTCTAAGTACATCATCTAAGGGAGCCAAATAAATGAAATAATAATAATTTGATATCTTGCTACACCACCCAAATTATCCCAGTGAGGCAGAACTGTTTTTAATGGCAGGACTATCTTAATCTAGCTCAATATCTTTTTATCTGCAGGCAGGCAGACAGGCAGGAAGGCTGGCATCCAATTACACAAACACACACATATACTTCAATATTCTTTGAATTCCCAAATATATGAAAGTCTAAGGCTTATATAATTAAACTATACCCTTGATAATATACGTCGTTATTATTTCTATTAAAACATAAACAAGTTTTGGTAGCTGTGGTAACTAACATTCTTGAATTTCATTGCCACACCTCTCCAGCAAGATGAGCCACAAAGGAATCTGATAGTCATTCCCCCCCCCCTGGAAATCCAGCTTCCTGTTATGCTATCTGAGAAATGGATCTGTGCAACTCTGCAGCTCCAGTTTCAGGGGAAAAAAGAGAAAGTTGGAACCACCAATACAAATTTATTTAAATGGTCCCTCCAGACGGGCTTCATTTCTCAGCATCTCCTGGTGCTGAATCCATATGCTAATGCATTTGGAAAATCACCCGGTTTGAAAAGGTTCCACTAGAATTAGAACCTGAACAAATGTTCTCCTCAATTGAATTGTATGTTAAATAGAGATAGGTACAAACATAGAGAAACTTTGTTTAGTATCATCAAAAGTTTGTATAAATTCTGCCCTCTAACTAACTAGTCTTCTGCTGTTGATGCATGATGAGGGAAAAGAAAGGGAAGGGTATAATTCACGGGTGTGACCATTTATTGATTGGTATCTGTTCACTAATGTCTTTGCAGAGCATCATTTATCACTTTTTAACTGATCTTTTAACTGGTGCTAAAATATTTTGAAGTTATGATTAAAGAAAAAATCATTCGCCACTGTAATGAATTGGACTGATTACATTCTAATAATAAAATGCTTTAAAACAAACAAAAGATAAACTCCAATTTCTACCTTTGCTAGTTTAGTAAGGGAATCAGTGACTATATGGTAAAATCAAACTGGGCAAGTGTCATCTAAGACTTTACGTTATATTGTGAAAGAACAAATTATATAATTTATATTATTTGTTAGAACTGATAGTATAGAGTATCACTAATGGCTTTGCAATACCACAGTGATGGCTGGATGACACTACAAATTGCTAAACACTCACTAAATGATGTTAAAGGAACCCACATTGCAAGAGATAGAACTGGTATTAAGATTTCACTTGTCCATTAGCAAGGTTCCTCTTTGCATATTCAACATACACATTGAAACCCACTTAACTTTTTTATGCCTATGAATCAGTGTTATCCAGATGTTTTATAAGCACTGTCCAGAAAAAAATGACTCCTCCAGGTGAATGGCACCTGCATATTCAGGAAATGTCAAGGTCTAATAAATGTAAAAGCAGTGTTTATGTACTGCTTTTGTTCAATATAGATATAATGCAGGATCTTTTTCAAGAAGAAACATAATAAGCTTTATTTTAGTGTGCTTTTTAAATCTCTGAATTTAAAGAAGATATCATATGATTTCCCCTACCAAACAACAAAAGCAAACACTTTAAATAAGGAATATAGCAGATTACAATTAATTTAACCTTATTTTATATCATTACTGGACAGAAATGGTGTGCAGTCTATTAAATGCAAAAGTGAAGTGTGACAAACCATTATGAAGAATAGGAGAAAGCAGATTGCAAGCAGAAAGAAAAGAAAAAGAAAATTATTTTCTCCATTACCTAAACTCGGTGGCTGCTCTTTTCTCTGATGCATTCAGCCTTCAAAGTGTGGCAAAAAGAAAGTGTGAACAAATCTCAGTGCCTCAAGGCTGCTATTCCTTTAATGGTAGCCCTGTCCCGCCTATGTCAGGTGAACTCATGGCAACCACACCTGGATTTTGTTAGGTGTGTCTCTAGGCTTATATCCAGGAGTGATGGAAAAACTGAAAGTGTTGATTGTGGAGTTGGCTATTAGCCAGGCAGATTCTGTTCTTCATAGCTCATACCTTAAGCAGGCAGGAAAGCATAAATCTTTTCACACAAAGAAAAATTAACAAAGAGAAATATAGCAATGAATTTGAAATATGAAAGAAGAGTGAGAATCTTATCTGAATTTCTGATGAAGGAAGGAGGAAAGAAAACAATTTTCTGTTCATTTCCCTCACAGGCATAAATTTCTCCTTATTATCTATAGAGTGTTCTTTGTTTATTATAACACATTTGGAATTTCTAGAAGACTAAATGCAACAATAAAGCAGTGTGTTACCTTTTATTTTTCACACGTGCCCCCCTCCTGCCAAATATGCTATCCAGTATACATCATTCTTCTATATAATGTGCTCAGAACTAAAACCAGTATGACAATAAAGTAAAGTAACATATTCATAATTGTAATTACAACTATAAAAATAAAATAAGACACTAGAGCAGTGGTTCTCAACCTGTGGGTCAGGACCCCATTTGGGGTCGATCGACCATTTCATGGGGGTTGCCAAGCAAGGCTGTCCGCCATTTTCTTTCCCCTTTTCCGGCGGGTGCCTTACCTCCCTTGGGCTGGGCCAGCTGGTGGTCGGCCTGCTCTGTCTCTGCCGCTTGCCAGCTACGCCTCGGCTGGCGCAGGGGGCGGAACCACGCATGTGTGGCGCTCCCGGGCAGGGAAAGTCCTCGACTTACGACCAGTTGGGTAGTCCTCGACTTACGACCGGTTTAGTCCTCGACTTATGACCGGTTTAGTCCTCGACTTACGACCGGTTTAGTCCTCGATTTACGACCGGTTGGGGTCACGGCATTAAAAAGGTTGAGAACCACTGCACTAGAGTGTTTATAATTTCAGAAGATTATACTGAAGACAAATATTGTGTTTACATGTTGTCCTTGACTTATAATCATTTATTTAGTGACCATTCAAAGTTAAAATGGCACTGAAAAAAATAATTTATGACCAGTTTTCACAGTAAGACCCTTGCAGCATCGGCATCGTCATGTGATCAAATTTGGGTATTTGGCAATTGGTATGTATTTATGATGGTTGCATGGGGTCATAAAATAATTTTTTGAGACCTTCTGACAGTCAATAGGGAAGCCAGATTCACTTAACAACCATGTCACTAATTTTAACAATTGCAGTGATTCACAAATCTTGCTTAGCAACAGAAATTTTGGGCTCAATTGTGGTAATAAGTGGAGGATTATCTATATTCTCTGCCCAAAGTGTAGTAAAAAGAGGGCTCTTATAACTTCAGTGCTATAATACAAACATTGTAAGAAAAAAGTCCTTGTAAATATATCTGGATGATGGGACATACATAGTGAGTTTCCACTCACAAGTGCAAATTATATTAATATTTCTGCTATCTTGGCCCTGACCTATTTAGGCTCTGTCAGTAAAAATAGGCCCCTTCAGTTGGAAACAAGTTAAAAGCAGCATATGTGATAAAAAATATTAAATGGTCTTAAAGTAAACATCATGTGGAAGTACATTTTATATTAATTCTGAATAATTAGAGCTCTATATGGAGTTCATTATTGTAAACCAGATGCTACATAATTACAGCATGACTTAGTACAATCTGATCTTTTACCTCAGGAAGGATATTGACATACCAACCAAACTAGACAAACTCCCTTCCCCCATCATCTAAGCTTCAAAGAGCAATCCCATATTTCATATGACCATTCTCTCACCCCAGTCTATATATCTACTTCTTCTGCTGAACTGCTATCCCATCCAGATGACATTGTATTCACCATCACAGGCTAGCTCGTCTACTGATCAACAGGTCCTCTGTCTTATATCAATTCAGTTGCAATTTATTTTTCCTCAGATTCATTTTAATGTTGTACTCAGCAATGGTACAGGACCTTCAGTATCTCAAATGTAGATATACACCTAGAATAAGAACAGAATAATAACTTTATTGTCACTTTGAATGTACATTAATTGGCATGCATTAAAATAAAAGTTTGTTGCATTCAGCTCTCAAAGGGTCATCACCTCCAATATACGCTACATAAATATGACAAAAATAAATAAATACAGAATAATGCATATACCCACATATATTATATGACACAGAGAAATAGCAGTCTAGTTTGGGTTATGTATACATGTGCATGGCGATAAAAACAAATCTTGTGAGTTTACCAGACAGATGGCCTAGGGAACAAAGCTATTACAGAATCGGGTAGTCCTGATAAAAATACTTCGAAACCTCCTCCTAGATGGGAGCAACAGAAACAGATCGTAAAGTGGATGTGTGAGGTCTCTAACAATGCTTTGAGCTCTAAGCACATGGCCCTTATAAACAGCATCCTGAATATCAGGGAGCGAGCTTCCTATGATCTTTTCGGCTGTCCTTACCATTCTCTGTGTGGACTTTCTATCTGAGGCAGTGCTGCCACCAAACCAGACAATAATGCAGTTTGTTAAAATGCTTTCAATCGTGCCTCTGTAAAAAGTGGCCAGGACAGAAGAAGAAAGAGGTGCTTTCCTCATCCGACACAGGAAATGCAGATACTGGTTTCATTCTTCACTAAGGATGGCATGTGGAGAGACCAATTCAGATTGTTAGTTAGTGATATAACTGAACCCAAAAATTGTGGATGAATTCTTCATTGAATCTATGTAAATGAACCCACATGGATTAGAACAGATAGTTCTGAGAAATATATACCCAGCAATCCTATTCTGGAAACATTCTCTGAAATATGATTGAAACCACCATAAAATGTTGCCTCCATCTAAGTTCAGCATCTGGGTTACGCAACATCACCACCAGATGGATTCGTAACTGGCTGACCAACTGCACTCAATGGGTAGTCCTCAATGGAACTGCATATACATGGAGACAAATATGCAGTGGGGTATCCTTAGCCCAGTACTCTTCAATATCTTCATCAATTATTTGCATGAGGGGATAGATGGGGAACTCATTAAATTTGCAGACGAGACCAAGCTGGTAGGAATAGCCAACACTCAAGAAGATAGGCTCAAGAACAGAAGGATCTTGATAAACTTGAACACTGGTCCCTATCTGACAAAATGAAATTCAATGGTGAGAAAAATAAGATTCTACATTTAGACAAGAAAAACTAAATGCACAGATACAGAATACTATAAATAGTAGTAACTGTGAGAGGGATCTTGGGATCCTAGTGGACAATTACTTAAATATGAACCAGCATTGTGCTGCAGCTATCAAAAAAGCCAACACAGTCATAGGGTGTATTAATAAAGGGATATAATCAAGATCATGTGAAGTGTTAATACCACTTTATAATGCCATGGTTAGAACACACCTGGAATATTGCATCCAGTTTTGGTCACCATGATATAAAAAAGATGTTGAGACTCTAGAAAGAGTACAGAGAAGAACAACAAGATGATTAGAGGAGTGGAATCTAACACATGGGAAGAACAATTGAGGAAATTGTGTATGTCTAGTTTAATGACAAAAAGGACTAGGGGAGACATAAGCACTGTTCTAATAGCTAAGGGGCTGCTATCAAGAGGAGGAGGTCAACCTATTTACTAAAGCACTTGAAGGCAGGACAAGAAGAATGGATGGAAACTAATCAAGGAGAGAACCAACCTAGAACTAAGGAGAAATTTCCTGATAGAACAACTAATCAGTGGAATAACTTACCTCCCGAGATTGTTAAGAAGAGATTGGACAACCATTTGTCTGAAATGGTATAGGGTTTCCTGACTGAGCAGGGGGTTGGACTAGAATATCTCCAAGGTCCCTTTCAACTCTGTTTTTCTGTTATTCTATTATTTTCTAGCTGATGTTATAAATACAGTTGAGAAGCATATATCTAATCACAATGTAGGTTATCTGCAAAGAAAGCCAAAATTGACTGATAATTAATTAATGTAAATTTAGATTGATAAAGATTCAAATAATCAGCCTCATCCAATAAATCTGGAGTTTCAAGAACCATTTAGGAAAAGGAAATTTGAAGCCATCTTGAGAATTCATTTCAATAGAAAGGTGGGCCATAGACAAATAAATAAGTGGTTCAATAGTTGTCTAGTCATTAGGAGACAGTGAAAGGTTTTAAAATAAAGAATTTATAATTACTTCCTTCAGTGGAAATGAAATATAATCCTTCTTCAAAGAATGGATTATAATCTCTGCAATTTAATCACCTTTTATAAACTAAGATAATTACAGGTCTAAAAACATGAGACTAAACAAAAAGAAACATCCATTAAAATTGGATGCATGCCAGTCTCAATATTCTCAACATATTTGACTCTCAGTGTAGAGTCCAGCTTGGACAGATATGAGCAATCTGAAGAGCAAAATGTATTTCTGTATCACTTATAGGCGTCTTCTCGGTATACGTGTCCAGAGCAGTTGTTGTTGGACTTCCAGAAATATTGGTTGCATTTGCCGAACATTTCTGAGCATTTCTGAAAGCAGGAAATGTTCTGGAATTTGTTTATTTATAAGATTTATATATGTACTGTCTGGTTATTAAGCAAATGCCATGATTGTTAAGTGAACCCATTGTTCAATATAGGGGCATTTTGCTGAAAACTGGAAGTAGTGCTGGTTTTCACCAAAACCATTGCAAAATGAGGGCATATGCTGCAGGATGCTGCAAACATCCATAATGCATCTATGTTGCTGAATGCCTAAATGTGGTCATGTGACCATAGGGGGAGGAACCAACACAGTAACCATTTACCAATGCAATATTAATAAAAATAGTATATTCAATGCACAATACATAAATAAGAGTTTATATAAAATAACCCATAAAATTCCCTTTGAAATATCTAAGTCTTCACAAATCTTCAGGAGGCTGTATGAATTGAAGCAAGCTATCCT